ACTCTTTTTATACTTCACATTCATGATCACTCATTCCACTTTTCCACGCATTCAAGTTTAAAATATTCATGAATAAAACAACGCACCACGCCCAGCCCGACCACATAACAATAACAACAACAAGACCGGTCAAACAGTTCCCAAAGTTCACACACTGCCCACAATAATGAGCGCCAGTCGTCGTCGTCCGTGCTAGCAGAGTGAGTTTATTAATAGTAAGACAAACTCAAACAAAGACAAAAGAATCGAGAGAAGGAAGGAAGAGGCCAAAAAAATGTTTTTAATGGAGTAGGTGGGTAAATGTTTGTTGGTATGATTCAAACAAAATGATTTTTTAAGTCTGAATTATTGTTGGACACAAAACAACATATTTCACTGACATTTCGAAAAGGTACAAAACACAAGGAGTTTTCCAAGCATCAAGATAGAATTATGTTACATTTTTTTTTTTTGCTCAATTTTCATCTTCGCTCACTTGAAACAAGAACAAAAATATTGAAATGATTTATTTTCTTTTTCCTTTTGGAAATTTCTTCTAATTAACCAACTCATGTAAGCTGGAAATATCATGCGAGGTACACCAACTCATGTAAGCTGGAAATATCATGCCAGGTACACCAACTCATGTAAGCTGGAAATATCATGCGAGGTACACCAACTCATGTAAGCTGGAAATATCATGCGAGGTACACCAACTCATGTAAGCTGGAAATATCATGCCAGGTACACCAACTCATGTAAGCTGGAAATATCATGCGAGGTACACCAACTCATGTAAGCTGGAAATATCATGCGAGGTACACCAACTCATGTAAGCTGGAAATATCATGCCAGGTACACCAACTCATGTAAGCTGGAAATATCATGCCAGGTACACCAACTCATGTAAGCTGGAAATATCATGCGAGGTACACCAACTCATGTAAGCTGGAAATATCATGCCAGGTACACCAACTCATGTAAGCTGGAAATATCATGCCAGATACACCAACTCATGTAAGCTAGAAATATCATGCCAGGTACACCAACTCATGTAAGCTAGAAATATCATGCCAGGTGCACCAACTCATGTAAGCTAGAAATGTCTTTACGGGTACTTACGGAGTGATATGAGTATTATTGAGAGCCGTAACTTGTCAGTTTTATCTAATCAAGGGTCCTCAAACCTTTTAAACACGGGGCTCGTTCACTGTCCCACAGACACTGTTGGGGTTGGGGTGTCTTTTGCCGGGGTAGAGGGGGGTAACTATTGTTTGAAAAAAAATATGAACGAATTCCAATGTATAGTACACACAACAAACATCTTGTGTATAGTACACACAACAAACATCTTATGTATAGTACACACAACAAACATCTTATGTATAGTACACACAACAAACATCTTATGTATAGTACACACAACAAACATCTTGTGTATAGTACACACAACAAACATCTTATGTATAGTACACACAACAAACATCTTATGTATAGTACACACAACAAACATCTTATGTATAGTACACACAACAAACACCTTGTGTATAGTACACACAACAAACATCTTGTGTATAGTACACACAACAAACATCTTATGTATAGTAAACACAACAAACATCTTGTGTATAGTACACACAACAAACATCTTATGTATAGTACACACAACAAACATCTTGTGTATAGTGCACATAACAAACATCTTATGTATAGTACACACAACAAACATCTTATATATAGTGCACACAACAAACATCTTGTGTATAGTGCACACAACAAACATCTTATATATAGTGCACACAACAAACATCTTATGTATAGTGCACACAACAAACATCTTATGTATAGTACACACAACAAACATCTTGTGTATAGTGCACACAACAAACATCTTATATATAGTGCACACAACAAACATCTTATGTATAGTGAACACAACAAACATCTTATGTATAGTGAACACAACAAACATCTTATATATAGTGCACACAACAAACATCTTGTGTATAGTGCACACAACAAACATCTTATATATAGTGCACACAACAAACATCTTATATATAGTGCACACAACAAACATCTTATGTATAGTGCACAAAACCAGAAGACAGAAAGCATTACAATATTTAAAATGAAGAATAATTCTTAAATCAACATAATAGTTTTAGCATTTCAATCGGATGTAGGGGCCGGATCTGGCCTCGAGTTCCGCAGTTTGAGAACCTCTGATTTTTCTTGTTTGATTGCAAGAAGTGTTACTTAAAGTCACCTTTGTAAAAAAGTGTCCTCATTTTATTATTTTCCCCCCTCCTTGATATTGGCAGTCGTTATCCGGGGCCTGCAGAAGGTCAGCGTTGTCTGACCATAGTTGGCTTGTAAGAGATTAGACAACGATATGCTGAAGTAGCAAATGCTGCTCTGTTCTGAGACCGTTGAATGTAGCAATTATTCAAGGATTATTATTGGTAGTAGTATTGTTCGTCCTTAGCGGGCGAAAATGACCAATCCTACGACTTGAGTGGTAGCCTTGACTTGAGCTGTAATTTGTTTAAAGTGAGGGAGAGTTGCTCATTCGTCAGCCTCACTCTCTCGTCCTTGCCTATTTGATCAAATGTAAAGACTAAGTCAGGGCAACAGGAAATAGAATAGGACGCAGTAGATGACCAGAAGTGTATCGTGTGTCTCACTGCGCCCTTATGCGTCCCTCATCACAGGAGTTGTCGCAATGTATTAATGTCATACCCCTACGGAACTCCATCTCCGGGTTTAATCTCAGAGTTTGCCTTCTCTAAGATGAGTTGCCATCCACCCACGTTGATGGTGTTGTTTTCACCTGTCCGGGCTTTTGATGATTGAACTCCAGTCCACAAGCTTGGGATGGCCTCAGCTTAAAACACTCGGCCACCAAAGCCACTAGCAGGTCCTAATTAATGGGGTCATTGATACGGTAAAAATTGTAGGCTTAGAGATGGAATTCGAGTATTTGTTTTGTTGAAAAGTTGTAATTATACAGCCCAACAATCGGCTATAGCAGGTCAAGTTTAAAAGTTGTAATTATACAGCCCAACAATCGGCTATAGCAGGTCAAGTTTAAAAGTTGTAATTATACAGCCCAACAATCGGCTATAGCAGGTCAAGTTTAAAAGTTGTAATTATACAGCCCAACAATTGGCTATAGCAGGTCAAGTTTAAAAGTTGTAATTATACAGCCCAACAATTGGCTATAGCAGGTCAAGTTTAAAAGTTGTAATTATACAGCCCAACAATTGGCTATAGCAGGTCAAGTTTAAAAGTTGTAATTATACAGCCCAACAATTGGCTATAGCAGGTCAAGTTTAAAAGTTGTAATTATACAGCCCAACAATTGGCTATAGCAGGTCAAGTTTAAAAGTTGTAATTATACAGCCCAACAATTGGCTATAGCAGGTCAAGTTTAAAAGTTGTAATTATACAGACCAACAATTGGCTATAGCAGGTCAAGTTTAAAAGTTGTAATTATACAGCCCAACAATTGGCTATAGCAGGTCAAGTTTAAAAGTTGTAATTATACAGACCAACAATTGGCTATAGCAGGTCAAGTTTAAAAGTTGTAATTATACAGCCCAACAATTGGCTATTATAGCAGCAAGGGATGGTACGCAAACGTTGTTTATAGCTCTGTTTTTTTAAGGAGATATTTTCATTTCTCAATGTCCACCAACAGGTCTAAATTATTTAGACTATTGATAGTAGGGTTGCACCGAATAATCGACAAATAATCGATAATCGGTCTAGTCGGCCACTGTGTCCATTAATCGTTAAGCAGTGTTTTGTCACCAATTCCTCGGCTATTCGGCTTACCAAAGATGACATCAAGAATATTTATTCCTTTCAGGGATTTTATAAACTATGTCATATCATGGTTATGAATAAGACTCCAGGCTTCCTAGTAAATATTTACCTTCTTCCTCCCCACCCCCCCCCCCAACCCCATCCCAATAAATAGTATTTGTTTTTATACGTTGTTGTTGTTTTTTTACGGTGACGCCGTCAGTGTCCACACAATGACGCTGACGCCAAATAACACTAACCTTTAATTATGTTACACATACAACAATCGTGTTCCAACATATGGCAGATACAACAATCATGTTCCAACATACGGCAGATACAACAATCGTGTTCCAACATATGGCAGATACAACAATCGTGTTCCAACATATGGCAGATAAAACAATCGTGTTCCAACATATGGCAGATACAACAATCGTGTTCCAACATATGGCAGATACAACAATCGTGTTCCAACATATGGCAGATACAACAATCGTGTTCCAACATATGGCAGATACAACAATCGTGTTCCAACATACGGCAGATACAACAATCGTGTTCCAACATATGGCAGATACAACAATCGTGTTCCAACATATGGTAGATACAACAATCGTGTTCCAACATATGGCAGATACAACAATCGTGTTCCAACATATGGAAGATACAACAACAATGACTTGAAAGGTTGTAATAAGGAAACACTGCATACACAAGCAAAACATGACATTAAGCTGGCAGCGCTTGTCAGGATTTAACTAAGACTGGCAGGTGAAGTGGTCCGTCCATCTACCTGTCAGAATCCACTAAGTAACTTGATAAGACATCGGGTCGTAAATCACGACTAGCTTAAGAAATGGGGCACAAAACTGGATGTTTTTTGGGATCATACGATTTGAAGGGATAAAATACTGCGGTATTAAGTATCCACTAGGGCAGGGGTCCTCAAACTGTTTAAACAAAGGGCCGGATCAGTGTCTCAGACACTTTTGGAGGCCCGATCAATGTCCTCAGACACTATTTGGGGACCAGATCAATGTCCTCAGACACTATTTGGGGCCGGATGAGTGTCCTTAGACACTTGTGGGGGCAGGATCACTCCCCTCAGACACTTTTGGGGGCCGGATCAGTGTATGTGTGTGGGTAGGTGTGTATGTGTGTGTGTGTGTTGGGGTTGCAATGATGAATGAAATGAAAAGATAGCCGTCCCTTCATGTATACATTTATTTAAAACCTAACATTGTTTAATATTTGCTTACAAGATTTGTGCTAGTTTCCGATAATATCACTTTTTGAAACCTGGGTCTTACAGTAACAAAAAAGTCTCTGGGTCGCATCGCTGACGCACTCGGCCTGCCCTCTGTACAGGTTCATCCTCTCTATCACCTCACCCACATCAACCTTGGTGGTGTCCTTCACGTGGTGCAGGGATGACCCTTTCGGGGCGTCCACAAAAACAGTGGCCTCAAAGATACCGTGGCCCGGGACAGTCTGCAACCTAATTTTAAAGATCGCTCTCTTCGAGAAGCCCTTCGACACAGCGTCGGCCAGTTTGACATGCGTCACTTGTAAAATTGTCTCAAGTTTGAGATTCTCGCAGAGAGTGGTGTTGACTTGAGAGGAGATCGCCAGCATGACGCTATTTGCTAACCTTTTTGACAACGGCGACGTGGCATCAATGGTTTCTGCTCCGTGCTGACCACAGAGGCAAAACTCTGGCGGTATGGGAATTTCCTCACAGGTTCTGTCTTTCGGAATTTCTTGAAAGAGGCTTATTCCGTGTTTACTTGGTTTCAAGGGGATTTCCCCGGTGCTCTTGAAGTACATTAGATCTTGTAACGTAGCGTGAGTATCGAAATGTGTTGTAAGGCGCCCTGTATTGGTTTTTAAGTTTTTAGCAACATCCGGGTACTTTTCCAGAAACCATTTTGGAAATGTGAAAATGGCGTACGGAGTTCGACTTTCGACCATTCCGTGAAAACTGTATCGAATCTGACCGAACCTGGGCCCGTGGTCGGAAAACGTAATAAGGAGAGTCCTGTTCAAATGTCCCTTGACCTGCAGCTCCGTGTACACGCCAAGCATGTGCTCGTCCACCTGTTTCAACAGCGTCATGTCGTCATGGGTCAGCTTGGTTAAGAACGCCATGGCGTAGACGGGATCCTTGGGAAAGGTGTCCAAAAACTGCTTCACGTAATCCATGTGAAACATGAACTCCGGCTTGCTCCCCACACAATGCTTGCCCGACTTCCAAATCTGTGTGTCGTTTTCCATCGCCACCGTCATTGGCCGGCTGTAGTAGGAAGTGGGAGACAGCATGAATCCTTTCTTCCGGTAATGAAAACCTCCGCCCGAGGGAAAGTCTTCGGTGTAGAGCGTCCGATAACCCGCCTGTTCAAACGGCTGCCAAATAAGGTCCAATGGGTCCGAGTAGTTTGAAAAGCTCCACCACTTAGAAACCGCGTCGACAGGTAGTCCGGTGAGCAGCGGTAGATAATTCCCGAAGGTATCTCCTCCCACCTGCGTGTACATCGACATGTCGAAGGAACCGAGGTCTTTCATCAAAAACGCGTAGGTCCGCTGCATGGCTCGCAAGAACTGAGCCCTCGACGTGCCGTCGAATCCGATCATGACCACGTTTAACGTCTCCTTGGGGGCGGACACTTTCTCGCGTTTCTTTAAATGCATCGCGTAGAGCGGGTTCACATCCGGTCGTCTGGGAACTAAGGTCAGGTAACTCTTAGACACCACAGCCGAGGAGTTGACCTTGCAGACGACGTGAACAAACTCGACATCCTCCGACAGTTTGACGAACTCCGTGAAGGGGTCACTCCAGTTCCCGAACTTGACTTTGAAGTCACTTCTCGGATACTTGAGCACAACTTGGTACCGGCACGTCACCTTGGCGGACTTTATGTCGGCCTTGAACTTTGTCTTGTTGACCCGTACCGTGTGACCGTCCAAGTAGGTCAGGTCGGGCAAGAAGCCGTCGCATCTCAGAGGCCCGTGGTGTAACCCCGAGATGTGCATGACCTGCGGGTCAAACGGGTTGACCTGCGGGAAAACACAGGCCACGGAAGCGCCGCTCGTGTCCACTTTGTTGTTGGTCAGCCTCAGGAAAGAGTGTTTGGTGTTCCAGGGGTCGAGCTGCAGGTTGGCCGACGCTTGGTGGCCAGGGACATTCAGAAACGTGGGGAAGTAGTTGGAGATGACCAGCAGGTGGTACTGCTGGGATAGGAGGTACACCATGACCGAGGTGAAGGTCAGAAGAAGCAAGTACACGTTCTTCGTGTGTGACGTCATCCAGGAGAAGGCGTGTCCTGAAATAAGGTGGGAAACAATCAATGACTCTTCAATGCGTCACACCAATGATGAGAGTCCGAGTGACGCCTTGTGGCGGGGACTTCTCATTTCACGGGCGTTTGCTTATCCCGAGAAAACGGGAATAAATTGTTTCTCATTCCGGGATCCCGCCATAAAATATTTTATAAATAGAACAAAACTTATAGATTTGATTTTGTAAAAAAAAAAATTGAATTGTTACTGTCTTTTAATGAATTGAGTAAAAACAATGTTAAGGCCAGGCTAGTTGAGATGTTCATCATCATCATGTCACTTAGTCTTTGGACCGTTGGGGCACCACAAATGACGTGTGAACTATCCTCCTCCATTCGCCTGTCTTCTGCACGTCTCACAATATCGCCCAGTTTCAGTATCGTCGACTCCTTGATGCTGTCTACCCATCTTTTTCTTTGTCTTCCTCTTCTTCTCCCTCCTCTTGTGGTGCCCTGCATTATTTCTTTGTCTCCCTCTTCTTCTCCCTCCTCTTGTGGTGCCCTGCATGATTCCTTCTCCCTCCTCTTGTGGCGCCCTGCATGATTTCTTCTCCCTCCTCTTGTGGTGCGCTGCATGATTCCTTCTCCCTCCTCTTGTGGTGCCCTGCATGATTCCTTCTCCCTCCTCTTGTGGTGCCCTGCATGATTTCTTCTCCCTCCTCTTGTGGTGCGCTGCATGATTTCTTCTCCCTCCTCTTGTGGTGCCCTGCTTGGTTTCTTCTCCCTCCTCTTGTATGGTGCCCTGCATGATTCCTTCTCCCTCCTCTTGTGGTGCCCTGCATGATTTCTTTGTCTTCCTCTTCTTCTCCCTCCTCTTGTGGTGCCCTACATGATTCCTTCTCCCTCCTCTTGTGGTGCCCTGCATGATTCCTTCTCCCTCCTCTTGTGGTGCCCTACATGATTCCTTCTCCCTCCTCTTGTGGTGCCTTGCATGATTTCGTCTCCCTCCTCTTGTGGTGCCCTACATGATTTCTTTGGCCATCCGTTGTTGAGATGGGATGTTAGCGTTTCATTCCCTATTAAGTAAGGGCCTATCTTAAGACGATTTTTCCGCCCCCCTGATATTGGCGCCTCTCGCCCCCTCCTGCAAACGACCCTGAGTGTATAGAGGGGTGGGGGCCTCAGTGGATTACTGTGACCAGGGCCTACGCTGCTGTAAAGACGGCCCTGCGTATCAACACAGTTATGGTATAAACTCGTATCAACACAGGTAGCCTGTAGCTTGGTATCAACCCATTAGGTAGCCTGTAGCTTGGTATCAACCAATTCTAGTAACCTGTTTTATGGTTTCAATGATAAGTTTGGTTAGGTTTTGTGCTCCAGTTAAGCGATCATTGATAATGACTTCCATTGATGTATTTGAGGGTTAGTTTGATGTTCTATTCTTTATTTCTGGGACCATTTCCTTGTTGGCTGCATGTCTCGCACTACTTAATACAAGTGTGGCAATAATTACCCATAGATTATGCTTACACTGAGAATGATGAAGTCGACATAGGCAATAATTACCCATAGATTATGCTTACACTTAGAATGATTAATTCGACATAGGCAATAATTCCCCACAGATTATGCCGACACTGAGAATGATTAAGTCGACATAGGCAATAATTCTCCATAGATTATGCCGACACTGAGAATGATTAATTTGACTTAAGAAATAATTATCCATAGATTATGCTACCCATGAGAATGATTAGGTTGAAATAAGAAATAATTATCCATGGATTATGCTGCCACTGAGAATGATGCGTAGAAATCTATGTTGAAAGAAAAAGTGGAGGACCTACCCATGTTAATCCCACTGACTCCACAGCTGAACTGTGTGCTGACAGGTCACGCCCTGTGTGTCACTCCCCTATCACATCTGTGCTGCTCACCCCAATGGTTACTACTTCATCGCAATTTGTCCACCTTATACGCAGGTGTACACTGTGTACTTTCTCTCAAACGATACCGCCATGGGCGTAACTAGCGGCCAGTGAGAGGTGGCAACACCCTCTAGCTTTGCGGTAGGGAAAAGTAAAGTTAAAGGCAAAACCAATAGTTTCATCAAGAGGCACAACCAAGAGTCTCCCTTCAGAGGCACAACCGAGTGTCTTCCTCAAGAGGTACAACCGAGTGTCTTCCTCCAGGACAAACCAATAGTTTCATCAAGAGGCACAACCAAGAGTCTCCCTTCAGAGGCACAACCGAGTGTCTTCCTCAAGAGGTACAACCGAGTGTCTTCCTCCAGAGGCACAACCGAGTGTCTTCCTCAAGAGGTACAACCGAGTGTCTTCCTCCAGAGGCACAACCGAGTGTCTTCCTCAAGAGGTACAACCGAGTGTCTTCCTCCAGAGGCACAACCAAGAGTCCACTTTCAGAGGCACAACCGAGTGTCTTCCTCAAGAGGTACAACGGAGTGTCTTCCTCAAGAGGTACAAAACCAATTTTCCCCTCACGCCACACCTAGACACTAGTGTGCCGCGTCACACCTAGACACTAGTGTGCCGCGTCACACCTAAACACTAGTGTGCCGCGTCACACTTAGACACTAGTGTGCCGCGTCACACTTAGACACTAGTGTGCCGCGTCACACCTAAACACTGGTGTGCCGCATCACACCAAGACACTAGTGTGCCGCATCACCCCAAGACACTAGTGTGCCGCATCACACCTAGACACTAGTGTGCCGCGTCACACCATCTACCACAGACCCCCCTGCTCCCCCTTTACACCACCCCCCCCCCAAGTCAACATTTCCCCCTATTTGGTTTCATCCAACTCGGTGAAGCCTCCATATCCCTGCGTAAAAGACAAAGCTGCGGGGAAAATGTGCCTTCAAAAATACCGGGCTATCCTAGTCCGTGCCTGGGTACACACACAGACTCATTAAACTGAAGGCGAGGAGAGTTTCACAATTGTCAACTCGATACTCTGATGCAGTGGCCTTTCTTGACAATTGTCTGTGTGTGTGTCTGTGTGTGTCTGTGTGTCTGTTAGGGCGAAAAGGCAAATAAAATAGTTACAAGCACATGTGTAGGGAGAGAAGTGTCCGCACTTTTTGGTTTGGGGGGGGGGGCGGGCGGAAGGGGGCATTTTTCGATCCGCTGCATATACATACTAAATATGGCTTGTGTATGACATATGCACACTAAATATGGCTTGTGTATGACATATGCATACTAAATATGGCTTGTGTATGGCATATGCATACTAAATATGGCTTGTGTATGACATATGCACACTAAATATGGCTTGTGTATGACATATGCATACTAAATATGGCTTGTGTATGACATATGCATACTAAATATGGCTTGTGTATGACATATGCATACTAAATATGGCTTGTGTACTACATATGCATACTAAATATGGCTTGTGTATGACGTATATTCTTAAACTTAAACTGTCTGACTTTTATGAGAGGGAAGGGGCTGTAAAATCAAAAAGCACCATGGGCGCCACAAACTCTAGCCAGTCCACATGTTCATGAAAAACAACAATTTTGTGTAAACCAGGACTGCACAACATACGGCCCGCGGGTCACGTGTGGACTGCCAGCACCCACTTTGCGGCCCACAAAGTACCAAAATATTATTTTCATTATTATTGTCTTAAGAGTTTTGCCCTGTTGTATTTTTTTTCGGCACGCACAAGGTTTTCATAAAGTATTACGGCACGCACAAGGTTTTCATAAAGTATTACGGCACGCACAAGGTTTTCATAAAGTATTACGGCACGCACAAGGTTTTCATAAAGTATTACGGCACGCACAAGGTTTTCATAAAGTATTACGGCACGCAAAAGGTTTTCATAAAGTATGAAACCACGCACAAGGTTTTCATAAAGTATTACGGCACGCACAAGGTTTTCATAAAGTATTACGGCACGCACAAGGTTTTCATAAAGTATTAAGGCACGCACAAGGTTTTCATAAAGTATTACGGCATGCACAAGGTTTTCATAAAGTATTACGGCACGCACAAGGTTTTCATAAAGTATTACGGCACGCACAAGGTTTTCATAAAGTATTACGGCACGCACAAGGTTTTCATAAAGTATTACGGCACGCACAAGGTTTTCATAAAGTATTACGGCACGCAAAAGGTTTTCATAAAGTATGAAACCACGCACAAGGTTTTCATAAAGTATTACGGCACGCACAAAGTTTTCATAAAGTATGTTAGCACGCACAAGGTTTTCATAAAGTATTACGCACGCAAAAGGTTTTCATAAAGTATTACGGCACGCACAAGGTTTTCATAAAGTATTACGGCACGCACAAGGTTTTCATAAAGTATTACGGCACGCACAAGGTTTTCATAAAGTATGAAACCACGCTTAAGGTTTTCATAAAGTATTACGGCACGCACAAGGTTTTCATAAAGTATTACGGCACGCACAAGGTTTTCATAAAGTATTACGGCACGCACAAGGTTTTCATAAAGTATTAAGGCACGCACAAGGTTTTCATAAAGTATTACGGCAGGCACAAGGTTTTCATAAAGTATTACGGCACGCACAAGGTTTTCATAAAGTATGTTAGCACGCACAAAGTTTTCATAAAGTATTACGGCACGCACAATGTTTTAAAAAAGTATTACGGCACGCACAAGGTTTTCATAAAGTATTACAGCACGCACAAGGTTTTCATAAAGTATTACGGCACGCAAAAGGTTTTCATAAAGTATGAAACCACGCACAAGGTTTTCATAAAGTATTACGGCACGCACAAAGTTTTCATAAAGTATGTTAGCACGCACAAGGTTTTCATAAAGTATTACGCACGCAAAAGGTTTTCATAAAGTATTACGGCACGCACAAGGTTTTCATAAAGTATTACGGCACGCACAAGGTTTTCATAAAGTATTACGGCACGCACAAGGTTTTCATAAAGTATGAAACCACGCACAAGGTTTTCATAAAGTATTACGGCACGCACAAGGTTTTCATAAAGTATTGCAGCCCACCTTACATTATGAGTTGTCCAGGCATGATGTAGACTATTAAAACCTTTTGTTTAAAAATAATGTTTCTGCCAACAGAATTTACCGCTTGATGGACCCGTGACTGAATTCTGGATTTGCCCATTATTAAGTGATGGGCGTCCCCATGATTAAGTCCTACCTCTTTAATCTTAGCTCCTTCCGTCGTCCTTTTAATCCTACCTCTCTATGTACTTCCTTCCCTTTTCAATTATACCTCTTCAATCCTAGTTCCTTCCCTCTCCTCTTCCCTCCTTACGTTTTCTCTTTTACAGACAGTGGCTTAGGAAAAGGGTGTGGGGAGGGGGGCGTCCGTCATGTGTGGAAATATTTCTTTATATTTAGTGGTGGCACTGTCTGTCAACGGCAGAGAGGAAGGGTTCGTATGAGTGGGCGACAAAACAGCTTGGCCTGCACCGGGAGGCACTATCCCAAGCTACGCCACTGCCGCACCGGGTGACATTATCCCAAGCTACGCCACTGCCGCACCGGGTGACACTAACCCAAGCTCCGAAACTGCCGCACCGGGTGACACTAACCCAAGCTACGCCACTGCCGCACCGGGTGACACTAACCCAAGCTACGCCACTACCGCACCGGGTGACACTAACCCAAGCTCCGCCACTGCCGCACCGGGTGACACTA